GTCCCCTCCCTCTGCCCGCTGGCAACCGCCTTGGCTGGCCTGGCACCACCTGCTCGCCGGCCCTGCCCCCCCGCTGACCTGTCATTTCACTGTTTGGTCGATTTGCATATTAGGCTTTTATTATTTAGGATGTTGGTTCTCCACATTGGAAATAGTTATAAGGTTTGTTTTGGCCTGAAAGTGTATGGCCTGGTTCTCCTCAGTATGCCTTAGAATAATGATCTTTATTTTTAATTGATATGTTTTCAATAAGTGAAATATGAAACCATATTCTAAAAGTGACTGAAATTTTAGCAATTACGAAATAAAAACCACTAAAACCTAGCTAAGCACATATGCTCTTTTGGTTACCTCCCTAATAGTTGGCAACATTAATGGTTGGGCTTGGTTTAATCTTTATATATGGATTTAGTGTTGGGCCAAATACTTTTGCATTCAAAATCTCATGTGTCATGTTAGGAAGGTATTATGTTTCATGGACGACAAAGCCAGAGAGGTTAACCTTAGTTATATAGATGATTTGTGGCAGAGATGAGATTTGAAATCAGGTCTTCTAATTCCACAGTTGGTGATCTTTCTATCAAGGGAGTTAAAGTGGATTTGTTATAGAAATCACCCTATAAATTATTTTCTGTTGAGTGTGAGTTCCATGTTTCATTATTAAGTGAATACACATACATACTAAAAAAAAGATATACAAGTTCCCTGTCTGGTGTGGTCAGTTGGTTGGGCATTGTCCCATGCACCAAGGGGTCACAGGTTTGATTCCCAGTCAGGCCACATGCCCAAGTTGTGGATTCAGTCCTTTGTTAGGGTGCGTGTAGGAGGCAACCAATCGATGTTTCTCTCTCCCTCTCTCTTATTCTCTCTCTAAAATCAATAAACACATTTTTAAAAAGAATGTCCAGGGGTGGTCAAAAGTAGGGTTATAGTTGTGAGTTTATTTTTGTATAATTATTTATTATTAGTTATTGTATTTATTGTTATTATTAACCTACTTTTGCTCACTCTTATAGTCCAGTAGAATAAAAAATACATATGATGCCCTGATAATAAAGTCACATGTAACAATATAGCATGCCTTCATCATCACATACTTTAAAGGAAATAATTCCCTAATAAACCAATAATAAATTGTCAAATACTAAGTTTGAAAACATTAATAATAAGTGCCATATTAATAAGTGCCATAGTCAAAATACACTAAAATAAGACTCTGCAAAAGTAAAACCACAAATAAATGACCTGGCTTGTGAATTTCTTAATTTAAGAATTAGATTAAGTGATACTTGAAACCAAGAGAAATTTAGGCTATCAAAATTGTTCATACTATGTTGAGCTGCCTTGTTCCATCTTGGAATTAGGACATAGACAAATCTAATGGAGAGTCATTCAACTGAGAAAGATGGATGACAAGCATTAACAGTAACTGTGGTAAAAGCCCACTGCCTGCCTCCCTCTCCTCATTGCTCCCTGTGCCATCCGCTATGCTGATGGGCAGGGAGACTGATGGGATGCTGGGTGAGCTGGGCTCTTTGATGGCAGGAAGTTTCTGGCCACCATGACTGGATCTATGATTTCTACTACTGAGTGAGTGGCCCTTTTTCCCCACTAATTTACTCTTTTGTAATGAGTGAGTTAATTTTTTATTTTGTTTTCAGATATGGCTCACAGGCTAGATTTGAAGGTAAATGTTACTTTATCAGACACTAAATGGCCTTATTTTTACACATTCTTTCCTCAAAGGGGTATTTATAGGGCTCAGGCCCCCAGGAGACTAGTGGGAGGGGAGGGTAGTGGATTTCAGCCTGAGGCACTTATTTGCTTGAGAAAAATGCCAGATGAGTGGTTTCAAAAAGCTCAGGCTGCTGATGTGGGCAGAGGATTAAAGGGAACGATTTCTCCTCTCCTTTATAAATACCTGCTGGAGAGCTAATGGGATTTTGTGTGCATGTGTATTTCCTTTTTCAATTGGGGAAATTAAAAGTCATACTGGAACATCCTGTGATAAAATATGTGAGGTAGAGGCCGAGGGAACAGATAGATGCAGTAGAAGAAATGTGCCCCAGGTCTGTGGCATGTTGTATTATCACCAGACTTGGCATGTTATTGGTCTACTGGTGATTAAATACAGGAATGTGTGGGGCATAAATAAATACCTATCTCATCAGCAGCTTTTAGCATAAATAGCACTCTTTCCTATCAAAGAAACTAAATGCTTTCACAAGCTTAAATTTTATTTTATTTTCAATTAGTACCCACCCTGGAAGAATTCCAAGCTATTTCAAATACTCATGCTTCTGAATAAACAGAGCCTTCATTTCATTACTTAAATAGTAAGATAAATGCCTCTCCAATTCAAAATCTGTTAATATGATTAGATGCCTGCATTAAGGTAGTGAGACTGGGAATAGTTTAAATCTGAGTTTCCAAGATAAGAAACAAAGGAAAGATCTCAGCTGTAATCATTGATTCTGTGGAAAATAGGAATGTAGAAATTTTTGAACATAATTATCTTTGTTCCCAATATTATCTCTTGAAAAGGAAGCTTAGTATAGCTCAAATAATAAAATTGTCTTATTAACATTTTAATTTACCAATCCTCACTTTATGAAATTACATATTAATGAATATTTTATAACCACGAATTACATCCCAAATTATTTGCCACCTTTTGATAAATTGAGTTCTCCTTTCAGGAGGTAGTGTCTTTAAATATATTTTATTGATTTTTCACAGAGAGGAAGGGAGAGGGATAGAAAGTTAGAAACATCGATGAGAGAGAAACATCGATCAGCTGCCTCTTGCATACTCCCGACTGGGGATGTGCCCGCAACCAAGGTACATGCCCTTGACCGGAATCAAACCGGGGACCCTTCAGCACACAGGGCGATGCTCTATCCACTGAGCCAAACCGGTCAGGGCAGGAGGTAGTGTATTTAAAGAAAGCTCTCCCAGCAGGCATCAGGAAGCAGGGCCTCTCCTCCTCCATCCAGAAGAGCCCCATTGGCTCCTGTGGATGTGACAGGGTGCAGGAGGGGTTTGAGAGGACAGACAGACAGGCTAGTAGTCCTAGATTCTCCTGCCACTATCCCCAGAGATCAGGAGAGAGGGCCAGGGTGAGCCCATCACCCTTATTCTCGCCTGTCATCCTAACCAGGAAGGAGTGAAGAGCTAGCTGGTCTTTCTAGTGCCAGGAACACCCACCCCCACCCCCACCCCCATAGGGCTCTCAGTCTCCTCTCCTCTGCTGGACCCTCATAGAGAAAGTTTTCTCATTCTTATGCTCCTCTCTGGGAATAGCTTTCTCTTTGGGCCTGGGCAGTAGAGAGAAGATGTGGCCGTATCTTTTCTTGCTAAAACCTCATTACCTGGGAATTGGGGACCAGGAGCAGGAGAGGTGTCAGGGTGGTTACAACAGAGTACCCATATTAGGAAGGTTCTTTCAAGAGAACACCTGTTTTTTATGAGCCCAGTAGCTAGAGATACCCTTTAGCTAACCAGATCCCTCCACTCTCATATGGTATGGGGGAATGAGAGAGTAAAACCTTTACACATACAGAAAAATGCCCAGATCATAAATGTACATCTTAATGAATTTTCACAAAAGAAGCATTTATATAACCAGTATCCAGATGAAGTTTATTTTTTTATAATGATACTAGAGGCCTGGTGCACAAAATTTGTGTATGGGTAGGGTCCCTAGGCCTGGCTGGCAATCAGGGCCGATCTGTGGGGCGACTGGTGGGGCGATTGGGGGGGGCCCTCACTGGCACCCACCTTGGCTGGCCTGGCACCTCCCGCTCGCCTGTCCCGTCTCCCCTCTCCAGCCCACCTCCTTTTGTGGGGCGACTGGCGGGACGATCCGGGAGGGGGGGCGGGTCCTGCTCGCACCCACCTTGGCTGCCTTGGGGCCTGCTGCCTTGGGGCAGCTCCTGCGTTGAGCGTCTGCCCCCTGGTGGCCAGTGCACGTCATAGCAACCAGTCGTTCCACCATTCGGTCTATTTGCATATTATATAGGATATGTTTCCTAATTATAAAAGCACTTTGTAGTCATTTTGGAAAATTCAGCAAAATGTAGTAAAGAAAATAAAATCCACTCATTGTACCTACTCCCCCCAAAATGACCACTGGTAACAATCTGTGTGTTTGCAGTCCATCTGTCTGTCTCATGCCCTTGCACACACAGATGTTATATGCACCCATAAATACATGCATACAGTACCACAGCCTCTGAAGCTTTACACACAGAAGTTCTAAGTAGGTGCAATCCATGACATACAACAGAATTTTATGTTTACTGTCTGGTTGTTGACTTCATCAGCAGAATGGTCAGAAAAGAAAGGGAAGCCGAAAACCATCTGTCTCCTTACTTGATACCAGGAAAGGGGCTGCTTGTGAGGGAGGAGATAAAATAAGTCACTGACATATACGTGTGGATGATTCTTAGACTTCATTTCTTCAATATTTTCCCACCTCTCAGAAAACTCAGCAATAATGATTTTTTTTAAGTAGCTCTCTTGCACATACCTAAGCAAACAGCCACAGTGAGTCAAAACGTTGGAAATTGGCTGGTGGTTTTGTGAGTTGCAGGAAAATTATCTCTCCATTATTACTAAAATAGGTGAGACAATGCCTTCGGTCCTCTCAGGATTTCCTGTTCACATTGTCAGGAAGATGACAGTTGGCACCAGCTTCCTGTTGCTATTGGTGATGCAAGGCATTTTGCCCACCTGTCCCCTGGCTGGCCATGGGCTCAGCGTCTGCAGAGGTTCCTTGTGCTTACCTCAGAACAGCTATGCCTCTCTTTTTGTAAAATATATTTTCTTGTCTTATACATATGAGTTTTGAGTTATTACATATACAGAAACTTTATTGGATTTTCATATTTGTTAAGTGTCTTTTCAGCTCACTCTTTTTCTCCTTGCTTGTGAAAAAGATTCACAAATGGTATGGAGTGGCCTGTATGTTCACATGTGCCCTTGTATTGTCTTTTCAGTCGAAATCAGCTGTCCACCCTGCCCGCCTGCCTGTGTGGTCTGCCTCTCAAAGTCTTAATTGCAAGTAACAACAAACTTGGATCGCTGCCAGAAGAGATTGGTCAGCTCAAACAGTTAATGGAGTTGGTATGTACTGATTTTTATGGTGCTTGCTTACTAATCATAGTCAGCTGAAGTGGTCAGAAAAACTTTTTGCTATGGTTGGACAGAGAGGAACTGAGCCTATCCTATATAATAAAAGCTTAATATGCAAATTGTCCCCTTGGGCAGTCATTCGACCCAGAGTTCAATCTCTGGCTATGACTACCAGGGGGCAGCGCAGAACATGGCCGGCCTCTGCAATGTGCTGCAACCTCTTGCTGGCTACCTGGAGGCAGGGATGACACCGGAGGTGCGGTGAGAATGGGGAGTGTTCTCTGAGCTCTCTCTCACTCCCCCTGCTACCCTCCCCTGGGATGCCAGGGATCATGCGCTGGGAAGCCTCCTCCCCCTCTCCCCCGCCTTCAGGTGCTGGGCACCTGCGAGGAGCCTGTCTCGCACCCGTGTGGCATCTTCCAGGTGAGCCGGGCGGCAGCCTCCAGGACCACAGGGGCCAGTCGGGCTTGCGGTGGGTACGCGCAGGAGCCAGTCTGCAAGGCCAGTCAGGAGAGAGCACGCTGCCTGCCCGGCTTCCGTGCAGCACCGCTGGATGGCCCAGAGGCCCATATTGCACCCCAGCCTGTGGCGTGCTTACTTCATCTCTGCGTGGGGATTCGGGTGCTGTGACTCAGGTGGAGGGGGGTGCCCGGGGGCCCAGGTGCTGCTTAAGGTCCAGAGGTCAGCTGGGACCTGCCCTTCCATGCCAGACGCTTGTGCTTTGATTGCTGGCCAGGCCTAGGGACCACACCTGTGCCTCTAGTGTCATTGATAAAGACATTAAGGAGGGAGAGGAATAACCTTGGCTTTGTTGTAACAGACATAGTTTCTGAAAGTTACAGATTTTCTGTAGTTCACACTTCCTTAAGTTTACATGTTTTACAGCTCCTGAAGTTTGCAGGTTATCATGTGGTAGTTAGATCATTTTTTTTACAATGAAAGTAAGTTTGTGATAAATTATGGGTAAACAAAAACTAATCTACAAATAGGTTAATAGGCCCCACTTTCTGAATGTATATATATAAGTCACAAGACAGAAATAACAGCGTGCCCTGATTCTGTAAGGATTTGAGCAACCATGCTCTAGAGCAGTGGTCGCCAACCTTTCCGACCTCATGGACTACCAGTGGTCCGCGGACCACTGATTGGTGACTGCTGCCCTAAATCAATGTAACTTTAAAATGTGACCCTATCCCCAGGGATAAAAAAGAAGAACAAGTTACAGACGGGCAGAGATGGGTTTGTAAGTGTGTGCCTGAGGGTGAGGTGCACTACTGTATTTCAGATCTTTCTGTACCTATTTAATTACTTACCTTGTTTCTTAGAGTGTGAAAGAATGAATCCTTTCTAGACTTCCATTGAGCTAAAATGGGTGAAGGTAGAGGCAAGAATGAGCAATCAGGTTAAAACAATAGTCACAATTTAGCCTCCAAGCAAGCATTATTTCACACTGACCTTGTGTCAAACACAGAGCAAAATATTGTGATTCCAACCATGGAAAGGACACGCTACCTTCCTGCAAGTAGATGCCATTCTAGAACATTGATGACCAATAACTTTTCTTTTGTGTGCCAACTCCAGTTAATTTCTTTGGGGCCACCTGGAATCCTGTTGTGATGGCTTGTGAGGCCCAGATATAGTGCTGTGATCACTTAGTCATGTCTGCTTTGAGAATTGGCTGGGAAAGTGATAGCACCCATGTCACATGTGTATCCACTTTGACGTTAGTATAGAAATGAGTAACTGCTGTTTCAAGGCATCAGAGCTACTTAAAACAGGACTTATGTGATAGCAGTATCTGAAACCCATTCTAGCTTCCTCAGACTAAGAGTTAGTATTGGTTATAGAGATACAGAGGTCTTCCCATCTATCAGTATCAGGACATTTGATCAAGGCTCACGAAATGACTAGACCAAGACACTGTAAAGTTGTCCAGAACTGTGGCCATGGTTTACTTTTATGACTTACTCTACTTCTGCATACAATGGAGAAGTTGCCTAGCCCACAGATTCCAAGTGTACTAGTAAATGTCCTCCCAGCTAAAGCATTTAGCAGGGACCTACTAGCAGGTCTCAGCCCTGGGTTCTAAGTGAGAGAGGCAAGATCTGAGTCTCATGTCCTCTCCTGACTCAGTCAGCAATACCCAAGGCACATGATCACATTGCCCTAACCTGACTGCTCAGCTGCAACCAATGGGGGCAGTTCTGAAAGAAGTTGGTTATTAAGTTGGATCCTCTCACCCCGAAGTCTATTACAAGAAGTGTGCTTACAGGGTAGGGAATGATTGATTAGTCTTGGGGCTGGGAAAGGTTATAAGGGAAGAGACCTTTGAGAGGTGCCTTACATTACTCCATGTATCAAACAGAGTGAAATATTGTGATTCCAACCATGGAAAGGACACGGTGCCTTCCTGCAAGTAGATGCCAGTCTAGAACATTGATGACCAATCACTTTTCTTTTGTGTGCCAACTCCAGTTAATTTCTTTGGGGCCAGAAATCCATGTGGGATTTCTGAGATGAAAATAAGAAGGCAGAGACAGGAAGGCCTTCAAGAAGGAGGGATGACTTGTGCAAAGACAGGCCAGTATGGTACTACAGGGCATGCTTGGGCAGTAAGAAGCCGTTTAATCCTCCCGAGACGAGGTTGAATGGGACGACTGCCGTAGGTTTAGGCCACCATTATCAGCTCCTTCACAAGGTATCCAAGGCCCGCCTTGGTCTGGCCCCTGCTTCCCTCTCAGGTTCATCTCTTGCCCCTAGTCCCTTCACCCTCTGAATTGCAGCCTTCTGGTGATGCACCTCGTTCATTTTCATTCCTGTCCTTTAGAGCATGGACTGTTTCTTCCCCCTCCTCTTTTGGTCAGTTTTTAGATCTCACTTATATCTCACTTTCTCCAAATGCCTTCCCAGGTCCTGAGCTAGGTGCTTTTAAGACAAGCACCCAAAACTTATCCTCCAAGTTTCACAGAGTCGCATTTGTCATCTTACTTGGTATTCTCCACACCTTGAAAACTGCTTAAGGACAAGGGACGTATATTGCTGTTGTATCTGGTGCCCGGCACATGATAGACACCGAAGAAGGTTTGCTGCATGCTGCTGTCAAATGGTGGAAAGTGGGCCACGAAGGTGGCTTGGTGCAGACTCCCAAGTACTTTACTGGGTTGGGGGGACTCTATCTCTCAGTCCAGGTTAATTCAGAAGGTGCCATTTTAACAGAAAACAAACAAATATAGAATAATGCTTTGGATGAAACTGATAGTTATATGTTGTCTCTTTAATGCTTCTTTCAGGAGTCTGATAAATACAATATATGTTACAAATTGTTGTTGTTGTTTGCTACTTTTTGGCTCCTGACTGATGAAGTAAGTGTTCTGGACCCTTTTGGCAGCCAGAATGTTTCAGTCCCACTGCGCCCTGTGCTTCAGCCCACAGCGTGCCAGCCATCAGCTGTGCCTAGAAGTACGGACAGCTCTGTTAATAGGTGGCACAAGTGCTGAGCCCTGGAGCCACCCACGTCAGAGCAGGGCTTTCCGTCAGTTTGCGGGGCTGGCAGAGGAAGTACAACAGCACTGTCTGCAGCCTTGAGATACACAGGCTGCTGGTTGGGTGGAAGGGACACCCTGAGCTTTTCTTAGGCACCTTGTCTGGAGCCAGCCCTAACGTAGGCTGCCCTGCCTCTTAGTTACAGCAGTCATCAACCAGTCCTCGTGAATTTTCTCTACCAGCAACAACTATTGAACCCTGGAGTTCTGGAATGCTAGAGCCATAGAGGTTTTAAAAGACATCTAATCCAAGGTGTTGACATTTTACAAATGACGAAACTGAGGCAGGGAGATGTATAGAGCATCACCCTGGTGTAGTCAACTTATAACTTCAGTTGAAACACCCTCACCCAGCAAGCAGCAGATGCAGTTTTGTTTTATTTATTTATAAAATGTGTTTTTATTGATTTTTAGAGAGAAATGAGGGGAGAGAGATGAAAACATCAATGAGAAAGAAACATAGATCGGATGCCTCAGCAGATGTACGAGTAATTTTAAATGTACTAGTAACTAGTAACTACATTTAAAAAAATATATAAGCAAACAAACTCTAATAATATATTTTAACCCAAGATAGCCAAGATATAATGTCACATGTGTACAATGTAACAGTAATGAGGTATTTTGTATTCTTTGTTTGTATTAAGTCTTTGCAGTCCAGTGTGTGTTTACACTTGCAGCACAGCATGGATTGGACTGGTCACATTCTCATGCCCAGTAGCCACATGTGGTGACTACCATACTGGAAGGGCAGCCTGTGTTTTTTCTACTCTGTGTGTAAGCAAGCTAGATCTTTGTAAAAAAAAAACATTTCTTTGTGAAGTTGGTAAAAATTCAATAAGTTGCCATTATTTAACTACAAAGGGTAACTAGCCTTGCTTAAGGTCACAGACTTAAAAAAGATTAGTTCCCATTCCTTCTTATCTTTAATTTTTTTGCTTAAAATAGTAGTATTACTATAAGTAATCAGATGTTTTTTAGCTATCAACTAGAAGAAAATTCCCAGGAGAGCCTAAAGTAAGTCTAGGATTATGTGGGTGGCTTCTGTTTTGTGCTACATAGTAACCAATTTACTAAAAAATACGGGAGCTCCCCAAGCATTTAGAGTACCTTAAGCCACCACCGTGCTGATAAAATCTCTCAGTTTATGGGCTCAGCATTGTTTAAGTATTTTGAAGGAAATCATTTTAAAATTTTCACATTAGACTCAGAGTCTCCTAAATTGAGTTGTAAACTCTGTTTTTCTTCCGAGTATTTGTGGAGCCTTCTAGAATCATTTGCTTAAAAAAACAAACACAAAAGCACTATAGCCATCTACAAGAAAGGAGTTGTCCTTTCTAATTTTTGAGAGAAATTGGGGTTGGAAAAAATATCTGACCATCTATGTGTGCTTCCTATGTTGGGAAGAGATTACTAAGCACCTACTGTATGCCAGGCACTCTGCTAAGT